CGAAAAAATAGATTTTTCATATGTTTTACTATGTGATCGACAAAAATTACGTAGACTTTTGTCCAGTGAGTGTATACCAGATGTGAGGAATGATGCAATTTACATTGAGTATCCTTGTGTGATAAAAAAATTAAGTTATTGGAATATGATCTTTCATTTTTAATAATGATAACAAAAAAATTGTCACTTATGATGTGATCTATAATCTAGTGATACAACCTTCAGACTCCAGAGGAACATAAACAGATAGATTCCTATTATAAAAACCTTCCTGAGGAACATCAAGGGCATGAATGTGGTCACCAAATGGGAAAAATGACATCTCTTTAGCAGCTGTATTTCCTTCCAAGGCTGGAAATTCTTTAAACATCCTTCAATTCATAGTACATAGGCCTTTTTTTGTGAATCTCAATTGCCACGTCCTCATGAATGTTAAGTGCTTGGCAAGACTGGCCGGCTCAGTAGAGATTTGGGTTGTATCTGTGTGCAATGGCTAACATGGCTCAGGAAAAAAAACACTGCCAAAATACTGATTGAAATTTTTTTTGCAAACCAGGAGACAGCCATCTGGTATGTCAGATTTTAATGGGTTGCCAGAAGGTGAGCAGTGAAAGGCTGGGTAGTGACTATCACCATTTTTGTGTGGTAACCTCTGAGCTCTGGCACTGCATTCATGGCTGTCATGTTCTTTTGTGTTCTTCTTTAATTTCCTTAGAATAAGAAGTGATGGGATTTTCTGACCCATGATGCCACTTACACTGGAGGCATACAAGGTAGTTTTCTTTGGAGGCACCTTTGATTGTGAAAAAGCAGTCTGCAAATTGTGCAGATTGACCATTGATAACAACAGATTCAGGCTCCCAATTGAGATCACTGCTGTATTTGGATGTAGGCATTGTGAATGGGAATTGCTCTTTGATTTGATGAACTTGGAGTTTCTTGGTTTTGACTAGCATACCAAGGAGCTCATCATGGTCATAGGCACCTGGAAAGAGATCTCTAAGAGGCACAGAGGAGTATTTCATACCCACCAGAAGATTCATATGGGGCAGACTGCAACAAAACCAGACAAAGTGAACATTTGACTATGTGATATAAATGAGAGGCTGATTATGATG